TAATATTATTATACAATATAATACAATACAATATAACGGTTAACAACTATCTAAACAAGGCGTAAGGTCTCAAGGAGCACTTCTTTTCGAAGACTGGGCCATAGGATTAAAAAATGAGACCATTAAATCAACCAAAAAGTGGTTTTGTCCGACTCATGATGATGTGGATGGAAAGACTCTTGACCAAAGTATATGGATGAATACTTTATAGGTTAATTCGGATTTAAGCTTTACCAGTTTAATATTGAATTTATACTTTTAAAATTATATATAGGTTCATATTTACCTGCTAATTATCGTAACTTTAGTATACTTTCACTTTTTTACGCATAAATTGATGTTCGATTAATTTGAATTCACACTAAATATTATTTCCTCTATTTTATTTTATATGATATATTTTCTCTTCATTTCGTCTAAAAAAGAATGTTATCTTACTATAATTGGAAACAATTTAATTTTTAAATTCTTCTTTTACCCTTAATGAAATAATTTATAATTACATAAATATTCAAGAACACAAATTTTTTTTTTAAAAAATTGTTTAAACCGTGTCAAATTAAACGGTACCACATAAAATGAGACAAAAATAGTAAACTTGATTTTAGTATGAATCAAGACAAACAAACTGAAACATAGAGAGTACCTGGTTTTAGTGTGAATCTGGTTCTGATTTTGGTGGGGTAAGCCTAGACAAGCTACATATCTTTCGGTTTTCATATTAATATTTTTGCAACTTTTTGCTTCTCCATAGCCTATAAAAGCTCATTGATGCTGCTCCTTTTTTACTCTACAAAAACTTCTCATCCCTCTTTAACTGGCCTCTATTTTTGGACTGTGATCACTCAAATTTAGAAACTTCTGAACTATTTAGGATTGGTAGTACTAGAAAAAAAACCTTTTTTTATGTTTTGACAAACCATATAGTGACATTTTTTGCCTTGTAGGATTGAAAGGCAGTTTTGAACCCTTTTTTTTTTCCTGGAAGATGATTGAATTGTCCCAGGGATATTACATCTTATGTAAACTTACAAAATTCAGTGTTGCCAAAAGTTTTTATTTTTGGATATTTCAAATTTTCAATAGGTACAGTTTGAACACTTAGCTAAATTTCATATTGTAACTTGTGTGTAGTTAGCACTTGGAAATATTTACTTATATGGCAGGAATATCATTACCTCCCGGATTTCGTTTCCATCCAACTGATCAGGAATTGGTTGGATATTACCTGAAAAGGAAAACTGATGAACTTGAAATTGAGTTGGAAGTTATTCCAGTAATAGACTTGTATAAATTTGACCCATGGGACCTTCCAGGTATACATTCTTGATCACCTTTTTCTCTTGAAAAAACTTATCTAAGCATTGACAAATATATACTCCGCAATAACCTCATATAGATTGCATTAGGGTAGACTGTCTACATCCCATTCACATACTAGGGGTGCGGTGCTTCCCCATATCCTGTGTAAAACTGGGATGCTTTGTGCATCGGGCTGCCCTTTTCATGATGGACATGTCATTGCTTTCATGATGATATTTTCATTTGATAGGTTATGTTGTTGGAGCAAAAGCTAAGAAATAGTGCTTTTGCTGTTTTCATGACAATTTGAACTGAAAATGAGTTGTTGCTTTATAGCTTATCTAATCTTTTTGTCTTGTCACAAGATGGAGTGCTCTGTGGGGCATCTCTATTTTCACACACATGCCCTAACCACATATCAAAAAGAAAAAGAAAAACATGTCTAAAAGCATCAGGTTTCTTGTTTTAGCTGGTTCATTCTTCTTGCTTATTCTGAACTTGGTATTTTGGGATATTGATAATAATCATGTCTTTGAGATGCAGATAAATCTTTCTTGCCGAAACGTGATATGGAGTGGTACTTCTTCTGCTCTCGGGACAAGAAGTACCCGAATGGCTCGCGAACAAATCG